GAGGATTTCTGTGCAAATCTACCAATTTCCTACAACTCTACTGTCCTCTAAACACAACCTCAGTGTTTGATATTTAGCACCATGCATTCCATAAATGAATGAGGTGTGAAATGTTGCATTGCAAATCTCCAACTGAACCACACTTCAAACCCCACCCTCTGGTGTTTTGAGCCTCAGAAATTTGTGTCAGCTGTGAAATTACCCTTTTGAACTGTAAAGTATTTTTTAAAATTTAGTTTTCTTTGAAAAACCTCAAAATGACATTTTTGTTCTGAATTTAGATCGGAATTCAACTCAATTTTATTTATACAGCACCAAATCACAACAACAGTCATCTCAAGGTGCTTTATATTGTAAGGCAGACCCTACAATAATACATATATAGAGAAACCCAACAATTATGTGACCCTCTATGAGCGAGCATTTTGGCAACAGTAGGAAGGAAAAACGCCCTTTTAACAGGAAGAAACCTCCAGCAGAACCAGGGAGGGGTGGCCATCTGCCAGTACCAGTTGGGGTTGCTGCAGATGGCTTTATTTAGATTTCATTCTCGCAGGGAGTCACAGGTAGACACAGTGACATTAATTTAAAATAGAGTCAAACTTTTTTTTCTGTTCATCTTTGAACAGGTATTCAACCAACATCACAGATCACAGCTACATCCTTACTTTCTTCGTCACCTGTTTCATTTTGCCTCTCGGGGTGATTTTCTTCTGCTATGGGAAGCTCCTACGGAAGCTCAGGAAGGTCAGTTCTGACACAACACACACACACACACACACACACACACACACACACACACGCACACACACACACACACACACACACACACAGGGTATCATTTTTACAGTTTTACAGAATGACAGAAAAGTTGAGAAGGAGAGCTCAGAAGGAAGGATGACAGAAACCAGACTTCAGCGCTGTACTGATGTCATCATCGTGACTCAGTAAATTACTAGTTAAGATGTTTCTTAATTTGGAGCTTTTATTACAGGGAATATCAGACACTGGATGACTGCTCACTGCAGCTGACAGTACTATTACTCATCTCTCAAATAAGCGTCAGGTTATAATGGCTGTTGTCCACCTACACGGAAATGACTGGATATTACTGATCAGCTGATGGACATGTGCAGTCATGTAGAAAAGAAAGTTTTCACACAACTCTGAGAAACTAAGCACAGTCTTACGGCTTCTGTAGGAATTTAGAGGGGAAGTAGCTGTCAGATGCCAGTGGTCAATTATTAATTTGATTAGCAGTTATTGTGTGACTGCCTCTATAAAAGTTAAAGTTCTGGCAGGTTGCTGGTTTGGAGCACCAGTGCTGCAATCTTTCCAGCAAATGCATGACTGCATACATTTTTATGTTGCTGTCAGGTATCACATGGTCGTCTGGCCACTGCCAGGAAACCAGAGCGCCAAGTGACCCGCATGGTGGTGGTGATGATCGTGGCATTCATGGTGGGTTGGACACCATACGCAATCTTCTCCATATTGGTCACAGCACATCCAACTATTGAACTGGATCCAAGACTGGCTTCTATCCCAGCCTTCTTCTCCAAGACAGCTGCCGTCTACAATCCAATCATCTATGTTTTCATGAACAAACAGGTAAGTAGACATTTTTAGAGCCACTGCATCACAGTTTCACTTTAGTCACACTAGTAA